TGATCTGTATTGTCATTGACTTTAATCAGAATTAAAGTATTTTTTCCCTTACCTGCCTTGCTCTCAGATGTCAGTGGTACAGTCAACAACCACAGCCACACTTTAGCTATCTCACAGGGTAAGAAGAGGGTATTTTCCTATGGGTTGCCTCAAGGCTTGGGGACTTATAGTTGATGCGAGAAAAATGCCTAATTCAACTGCTCACTGAAGGACCAGCAAAAGAAGTGATATAGAATTTTATAAAGCAATTTTTTAACTTCTCAGATAGGCAGATTAGAGGGCTACGATCACTCCTGAGGCCCAAAGCATTTGAATGAATTATCACATGCATCTCTGACACTTTTGCATAAGCAGCAGCACTGATTTCCCTTTGCTTTTGTATATTCCACTTTCCAGCCAACAAGAAATAAGTCATTTCTGTGGTCTTAACTCAGGTAATTAGTCAACAAACACTACTGACCAAGTCAATGAATGAAAGAAACAGCAGACAAATTTGCTAGTGAACTCATTGAGGAGAGTGCACAAAGAAAAAGTAATTTGGCCCTCTTGCCCCCCCAATGTTGGCTTAATTTCACAACCTGTCCACTCAAAACCTCTTACACAAGCTCAGTAATGCTCATTCTTCCAGTTCTGCAGTCATGAGTTTAACTGCAAAAAATCCAAGGAGAGAGAGATATTTTAGAAACCTTTACAATGATCTAAAATAGCTCTTTGATGCATAGCAGATGTCTTCAAAACTAGCATAAAAGGAGCCAAAATGCCTTACAGTTCTGGAAAAGGGAGATTCCAAGATAAGACATGTTTCTAACTGCAGCAGCTCTGGAATAAATTTGGAATTTATATTAATTGTCAACCTCAAAGAAAACATTTAAAAGAAGCCCTTCTGTTGTCCTCCATTTTGGGACAAGTGCCTTATTGGGCTACAAGCTGCACAAAGATCTGATGTCTGGCTGAAAGCAGTTCCTCTGTACGCGTAAAAGATAACAGATGGGTTGAGATGGGGGAAGTAGAGAGAGAACAACAAGCAGTGGGACATGGAGGTGACAGACTGGGGACTGCTTGCCCTTCATCCCTGGCTCTAGTCAGCTAGGAAAGGGGTGATTGGCAGGCTTCACTGCAGAGGGGAGGACTAAGGATGGATTGGAAGGGGCTTGGTGAGATGGCACTGATAGGTGGCAACAAGGCAACACCTCCGAGGCACACAGCATGGAAGAAAAAGTGTGAAGGGACATGCTGGACAACTGAACAACAGACCCATGAAAACTGACCCTGCAATCAAAGTGGGGATGGGATTCCCCAGTCCTGTTGCTCACCATCAGGGATAACCAGGATGAAGATTTGCTCTGAGTAGCCTTTTTAAAAGGGATGGGAAAAAAAAGTCTGTGTCTGATAAAATAAGAGTGGGTGGTACATCTGGAAAAAAATACAAAGCATGAAGATGTAGCCAAGTGATGAGTCAGCACATGAATCTTCTTATTACTGCTCTGAACAATGCATCTCGTGCGTACCAGGCCTTAGTTTTCATGAAGATTTAAGCTAGCATCCTTGTAACACCCTTAGCTTGGACAATGCTAGGCTGTGCTCATGGAATAGCTAGGGAGTGTGTCTCTTACTTGAATACAAGAAAGAGTTAGATGAAGGACTGAAAGACCAAAGCAGCAGTAAGGTGGAAGATTTGATATGAAATAAATCTTAAGAGCAGAAATGTCAGAGCAAGAAGATTCTATATATGTAATTAAAGGTGAAAAAAATAGGTTCTATTTCCCTATATAGGCAAATGGCAGAGTCATGCTTAATACTGAAAACAGCAGAAGAGGAAAGTCAGGTAGTGACAATGATACAACAGAGGAGTAGTCTTCCTCTCATCAGCTCTGATCCTCCCACATCTTCCTGGCACTCCTTCCCAGTCTTCCTTCTTTTGGCATTGCAAGAAATGGGCCAGAAACACAAACTGCATATTTGGCTTCCATATACATGAAAGCTCAGGACTTTGGTTTGGCTAAAGGGATGAGAGAGGAAATCTGAGTCACCCCAATCTGAACCACAGGCCCCAAATCCAGAGGCTTCTGGATGCAGCCCTTGGATTGCGCCCTGTTGCAATGTGTTGTTCTATCTTTCTCTTTCCAACCTTCTTTCTGCAATGTTCTCCCCTTTTCTGGCTGACAAACTGCAGTAGATAGCTTGACTGTATCTCAACCCTCTTTAATCCTTTACATATATGGGCATATCACAGAAGACTATTCATATGGAGCTAATCAATGCTTTGCCTGTGCATTTTACATGCAAGAATATCTGATGGAAAAAGCAGTCAGGTAGAGAGTTCTTCTCTCCTCAAAGGACAGGATACAGAGGAAGAGAAAGCTACCTCTTGTTCCTGTCCTACTGATAAATCTTTAGCAGGTGAAGGTTTCATTGCAACCCAAGCTGCTAATCCCATGGAGTCTGACTACTGGAAGGATATTCTCCTTCCAAGCTTGCCACGTCCTTGAACATGGAAGGCACAGTTAGATAGCAGAACAAAGCTGGCGAGTTCTCCTTTATTCTGTTTCTACCCTGCTCTTCACTCGTCTTGCAGATCAAATGCCTTCTTTACTCACCTCACAAGACACAGGAAGACTGCCAAAGCAGTCACATTTCACAAATGAAATCATTTGTGCCACTGTTTGCCTCTCCCTTTTAAGGCAAATCAGTGGGACGCAAATTCCATGGTTTTTGGAAAGAACCTCTTCTATGTAATATCTAAACAGAAATTCTTTCCCCTCTCTCTGGCACCAGCAGTGTTTTGTCTCCACCACTGTGCTGCGCATTACCAGCAGTAAAGATTGGGACAATTAGATGAAGACCAAAGCTAAACAGAATTACAGGTCCAATCCTGTAGAGCATCTACTGAAGTAATTTCATTTGTTCCCTCAGACAACCTGGTTATCATGCCTGGGAAATCACACTGCAAACAAGCTTGCATTTAAGATTCTTGCCACTTTTTTACAGTTGCCTGTATTGCTAGTAAAAATTTCTATTGATGTTGGAAGAGAAGGAAACTACTGTACAGTTCACAAAGCACCAGTACAGTCAAGTCTAGTTGGGTCTCCTACCTGTCGGGGTGAGGTGCCTCCAGGTGATGACAGGCTCAGGACGCCCATTTGCCATACAAACCAGGGTCACGTTGCTGCCCTCATTCACGGTGATGTCCGACGAGATATTGGAGATCTTTGGTGGAACTGTGAAAACAAAAGAAAGTTGGACCTCAGTACCCAGACCTCTGGAGAACAGCCTGTCTGACTCATTAACCTACCTACCTATTAACCAGATGCAGTCACAGACTCCTCTCACAGGCTGCACTCCTCCTTACTACCTGGGTTTCTGAAATTGTATCAGAATAACATGTATGGCTGCTTCAAGGATCTGCACATAGAAATGGCCTTTGATGAAACTACGATTCTTTGTGTTTGGACAGGTTTGGGGGCCTTCATAAAATCACCTCTAAGAACTTGCCTGACTGCCCCAAGGCAGCATGGAAAGAGCTGGCAGGCTCCAAGGACTGTCCCAGCTGGTTTTTACACTCCAAACAGTGCCAGATGCAGTTCTATGTCCTCCTGCAGGGTGCCAGGCCTCAAGGCACTGACTCAGAGGATGTATTAGCTATTGCTACCTCCCACATGCAGAGAGAATCCACGCTGCTAGGCAGGACCCTGTTCTGCTGCTCACATAACCAAATGCTCGCTGGGAATTGAACCGGAGAGATGTTAAGCTCATTTCTGTTGCGACTGCCATGATGAGGTGAGAAGCAGGGATGCGTGCCACGGCTAATGGAGATTTGCAGAGGGAAGGCACAACAGCGACAGCGGGAAGGTTTCTGCAACATCTTTCAGCCAAGGGGGATCCCCCATGGGCTGCCCACAGCTTCTGGATGACTGCACCTCACAGCACCAAAAGCATGGTAGGGTCTTTAAAGATTTGCAACACCAGCCATGGCTCAGGTATTCAGGATCCTTAAAGACCTTCCAACCTAACTGAGTTTGTGTCACGGGACCAAAGTGACGATGCTGCGACCTGAACAGGTACCTCTGGGGGTGGAGCGTGCCGGTATATCAGCCTCCAAGCAGACACAGTCTCTCCTCCCTCACATCCATGTCTTACTTCCATGCTTCACATCCTGGAGGTGGTGAGGGAGTCTGACTAAAAAGGAATCTTCTGATTTTTTTATTTTATTTTTTTTTTTAATATATTTTCAGCTTCTGAATTTGTGTGTAGCGAGGAATGAAACAACATCATTTTCTGCTTTGCTTACCACAGAGTAAACAGCAGCCTCCGCTTCCCCCTCTTTGGCAGGAGCGGCTGATGGTCCTTTTGAGGCAAAGCTGCCTACAAGCTAGGTGGGAAAAAGGAAATGAAGCCTGAAGAGAGCAACTCACCACTTCCAGCTGTGTTGCTGGATTCATAGGAATATTGTTTACAACCCACAGCTCATTAGCACCTCTCTGTAGGCCCCAAACTCATGGACTATGCTCAGCATCTGTGACCATGGGACCTCCTTGGAAGAACAGGGTCTCCCAAGCAGGAACAGGACCTGTCGAACAAAGTGAGGCAGGCACGTCTCTGCCGACAGGCCCACTCACCCAGGCAAGGAGGAACTTAAGCCAGGCACATTGGGGAAGGATTGCCATAGTCTGGGGGAGAAGTGACAGCACAGAAGGCAGTGAGGAAGCAGCTGGGGGCCAACACACAGAGAAGGCTTTTGCACTCCCCTTGTGAAAGCGAGACAGCTGGGGGCCCATCTCAAATGCCTGTGCACCAGTGTAAACATCATGGTGAAGAAACAGAAGGAATTAGATGTCCACACAGATTCACAGTGCTATAAACCCATTGGGATGACAGAGCCATTGCGGGACAGCTCTCAGGACTAGCAGCGCTGTGCAGGACGGATGCAGGCTTTTCAGGAAAGACAGGCTGGAAAGGCGAGGAAATGAAGTGCGCTCTCTGTGGAGGAATGCCTGGAGTGCACCCAGCTCTGGGCGGTGAACTAGCTGGGAGCTTAGGCATAAGGATCAGAGGATATCACAGTGTCATGCCTGTTGGCTGGTGTCTGCTACCAACAATTTGATTAAGAAGAGGCAGTGGACAAAGACTGCTTTAGACAGGTAGAAGAAGCCTCACAGTCCCTGGTGAGGCACTTCAACCACCCTGATATTTGCTGGAAGGGTGAAAGTGCTGGGTGCAAACAGTTCAGGAGATATGGGGGTCCAACAGGTTCAGCACGAGTTAGCAGTATGCCTTTGCAGCAAAGACCAAGCATCCTGGGTTGTATTAGCAAGAGTGTAGACCCGTAAGTGGAGGGAAGCAATTATATCCCTTTATGTGGTGCTTGTTAGGCAGCATCTGAAGCACGACATCAGTTTTGGGCTCCCCAGTACAAGACGACCATTGACATACTGGAACAAATCCACTGGAGGGCTCCCAAGATGGTCAGAGGGCTATAGGTTCTCCTTGTACATCAAGTGCTAAGGATCTGTTCAGCCTGAAGAAGAGAAGGCTGAGGGGAGATCTTATTGCTGTCAACAAATAGCTAGTAGGAAGGTGCAGAGAAGACAGAGGCAGGCTTTTCTCAGAGGTGCACAGTGAACAGCAAAAAGCAGCAGACATGAGCTGCAACATGGGGAAAATTCTGCCTCAAAATGAGGAGAAAGACTGCACTTTCGGGATGTCAAAGACAGGAACAGAGAGGTGGTGGAAACTCCATCCCTGGAGGTACACAAAACTCACCTGGGTGAGGCCCTCAGCAGCCTGCTGTAACTGGCAGCAGGAAGGAAGGAGAAGGGACCTTGGAAGCTGGTCTGCTGCTCAAGAGATAGAACTGATGGCTGATCAGCTCATTGTGAAGCAACCAGAGCAAGGCATGTTGGGGGAATGGTTGACTGAACCAGGGTCCCCTTCCCTGGAGAGAAGGAATTTCAGAGTAGGGACACCTCCCTAGCAGCACTATAAATACTGGCTAAAGCAAAGCATAGCTGCAAATCAAGCCCTTCTTCTCAAAGCAAAAATCCCCTGACAAACACGAGCCCTGCTACGTTTTACATCAGTGATTCACTGCGAGCCATCGGCAGTGTGTCTGCACACGTAGGAAGAGGTAGGAGGCAACAGAACAAAATAAAATAAATACTGTTGGAGAACGCTGGTGTTGTCAAAGAATTTGATCCCACTGTATCACAGGGTACCTGAGAGTTTCACTGACTGTAGCTCCATTTTGTGCCTGCTTTCTCTGTATGACACACCCATTCTGCACAGGAAATGCCTGGCAATTCAAAACAACAATCACACAGTGGTCCCGGAAAGTGAGTAAATACCTTTGCCACCCAATACCCTGAGGCCGTGTAAAGGGCAGCAGAAAGGAACTAGCCCAGTTAGGAAATCAAATGTCCTGCCTCCTCCAAAAGAAGCTTGTGGCTTCAGGTTCCATGGCACACCACAGCAGAGAGGCAGCTTGCAGCACCCTGCTGAGATCTGGCACAGCATGGAGTCGGCCAGAGTCAGAAGCACTTTCTCCGTCTCCTACTGTCCCACTGGATGACGGGAGTCCCCTGTCTCGCAGCTCAGGACAGACAGACCATCGCTCCAGCCAGCAGAGCTGCAGGCTGGGAGAGCCCTGCAAGCTCTGGTGCAGAAACCCAAACAGCTACTCTTACTACAGGGAACAAAGCAACTCGGAGGGCCACCTCAGTCCTGTAGCACCTCAGCCACCTGTAGATCTGAAACACAGTAAGTGCTGAGACCAACACACACTGGAGAACACAGAAGGGCTTAGTCTGGGAAAGAACAACAGAGGCTGCTATTTTTGCAAGAGTTGTGTCCTAGCTGCTCTGTCAGGGGACACAAGGATAGTGACTTTGGAGTGTCCTCAGCACAGCTTCTCTGGTGTGCTGGCAAACGTGGGCAAGCAGAGCCCAGGAGTAGAACCATTGGCTAAACAGCATTTTGAGGGCTTTATCTTAACTTCAAGGGGTTAACATTTGCATCAGGAAAAAAAGCCACGCAACAAACCAAGAAGGACTAAGCTCAAGCAGGTCTAGCAGATGGAGCTGTAGGCCAATCTGAGGTCCTAGCAGAACGGTGTGATGACAGCCAAAACAGTTGAGGAGAGAGCAGTGAAAGCCATTACGGGGCACCAGCAGCAGAGCTGCAGTTAGGACACGTCTACCCTGCCACTTCCCAAACCTGTCAAGTCATTTTAGTTCGCAGAGGATCAAGTAAACTCAGCAAATAATACAAACAGATCTGACCATGCAGACCAAATGCCCAAAAGGAGGAGGATGCGTCCAGATGGTCATATCTGGCTTGCCACTTTTTCAGATGAGGGAGAAAAGGGCATCCAATGCTGAAATCCTGTTAGGAGTATAATGGTTCGTTCCTTCAGCTGCCACCTTGGTCAGAGGGCAAGGAAAGGCTGAGAGGAAGGGGAATAGGGCAGGAAATAATTTCCCCTGTTAATTTAAGACCTGGTTTGTTTTTTGTCTGCTTAGAATCCAAAGCTAGCTAGCATTAAAAGTGACTGGATCTTAGTGGACAGTAATTTTACTCAGATAAAAAGTCAGAGACTTTTAATTTTCAGGATGTCAAGCCAGCACGTTAAAATGCCAAAACTGTCAGCACCAGCACCAGTTAGCATTGCCTCCTTGGCTCTTGTCATTGCTTTACACACACCTTTTTAGGACAGTCCCAAAATGAGAAGCTTTGACCTCATTATTTTTTCCCATGTGTGGGTTGTGTTATATTTTCATAGTTCCCAGACTGCCGGAAGAAGGACTGTTGAGAATAAAACCTCCTGGGACCAGGATCTCCTGGGTGCTGCAGCCTCCTTTTGCCCATCCATCTCTTGTTGACCGTCAACTGGGAAAGCCTTTTCTGTCTGGCCTCTCTGAACCATTAGCACAGGCAAAACCACAGCCTGCAGACCCACAGTAAGGGAAGCACCACAGTTAAACAGCACTTTCAGGCGTTTTCGTCTTTGGCCTCACGACTTGTCCTTGCAGGATGCCAGGCTGCTGCTGGACCCTTCTGGATCCAGGGACCAAACTGCCAGGCTCTCTAGTAATGTGGAAAAAGAGAAAATCACCTTATTTTTTTCTGGTGAGACCCCACCTGGAGTCCTGTGTCCAGCTCTGGAGCCCTCAGCACAGGAAAGACATGGACCTGTTGGAGTGGGTCCAGAGGAGGGCCACAAAAA